GGTGTACCTCCCTTTATTCAAGAATTTGTGGGTAAGCCCCAACTCAAGAAGTGAGAGTTTCTTTCTTCTATTGGTGGATTTGTATATCCTAATAGGACTGTTTTTGCACGGAAAGGTAAGGGCTTGAGTTAGGTTGAGGCAGTTTGGGGATGAGGCATGATTAGGGCTAAGAGATTTACTCACTAGGTTTTGGGACAAAATAGAGTGGTTGGAAGAAGAGCATAGAGCATTGGGGTCTATGCGTTGATATACGTCTGGAAGCTCTGCCTCAAGCGTGCGAAGCTTAGCACTGTTCGTACTACGTGTGACATTACAAGAATCCTCAACTTGGTTGAGAAGAGCTACATCATCATCACTGTGATTCTTTCCCGGAGCTAAGACTTTGAGATCACCGACCAAAAACACACCCTGTAAGACATTTCCAGAGCAGACTGAGACATCTTTACCAACGTTGAGATGATCACCATCATTTTTTGCACTCTGAACATCACCGGGCTTTTCACTAAGGAAGCCTTCAACAGAATTAGATTCATCAATACCTTCATCGACCTTAACTGCCGCTTTGGGGTAGTAAGACAAGCCTAACATGTAGATCTTCTGAAAATCCAACTCTGAAACTTTGATGTCGAAAAAAAATTGACCGACTTTCAATTTGCAAAAACCATTTATCAAATTTTTAAATTTTGTTTCCACAAGAACTTACCCGCTTTCTAGTTCCATGCGTTAAGTAGTTTTTCCATCAACAGAAAAAAAAAAACTCGACCCCAGTTGCTGGCAATTTTGGTGAAAGTTGTGGAATTTCAAGCATTCAGAGGAACCCCTTCAATGGCCAGCCAAACTCTCCTTGACAGCGTAAACTCTCTACAATGCCGCTTATACACTTCATCAAACCAAGTTTCTAACCACTATCTACTCCCATGAAGCATCTCTTTTATATCTTCCACAGTATTAAATTGCAACAGAACCTTAACATCTCCTAATGGCTTGATTATTATGAAATTGACCCCTTCAGTTCTCATTGCCTCCTCAATCATAGGAATAATTTTGAAATCTCTGAATATACCAACCGCACAAGTCTTTACCCAAGAGTCATCAATCTCTTTCGCTTCAGCAGTGAAAGAAGAACCATTTGGGTTCCTTCTATAGAATATGGTGAATGGTCTTCGGGGTCTTGGTTATGCCTCCAAATCTGGTTGCCTATTGGGGAGAGAGAATGAGGCAAAAGAGTCTTCTTCTTTCTCCAAATCAGTCTTTTCCCAGACAGAATGATGCTCTTTTCACCACTAGTATTTGACCCCACCACTAGACCCCATTGAACGAACGAACGGCTTCATCGACCTTCTCTTCCTTAAGGTATCTTACAAACCCAAACTTACTATTACTAAATCTGCGTCTCTTTAAAGAAGTAAAAGCATCACTGTAACGCCCCAATTTTTATACCCAAATGATAATACGATAACCATAGTTCTTTAAAGTAAAACTGAAAATAAATCCTCACACTTGCATTACATGATACAGATAGTCTTTAGGCGATAATACATTCACTTCAAATCAAAATAACATAAACAAATAGATACCCCCAAGGGTTTACAAGTTTCCAAGGCCTAGGCCTGGTTACACAAAATGATTATTCAAACCCACACAAATACAGCCATTGGCTTATAAACAACAAAGTTACAGCAAAATGAGAGTCTTATACTCTCAACATATATTTCCTCGCCTTTAGTTAGGCGGAATCACCACATCTTTTCTTGCACAAAAATCCCGTACGGTGAGTATAAAGCCCAGTAGGAAATTCTTAACAAAGTATATACATTTTATACAAGTCTCAAGAGATGAATGCACATGCCATGCTATGTCTTTTTGCAAATAAATCATATCTTCATCCTTTGAAAACTATCATGCTCAATGATGCCATAAAATGTCCATTGTTCAAAACTTAACAATTTAATTCAAGGGGCGGTATATACAACTCTGGTAATCCCTACGTCGGTGTCTGCAAGTAGACTATTCAAGTACTACCAAATTGTCATTTTTATCAGTATTAACCGGAAGACTCGATACCTATCCGCGCGGATTTTCGGTCTTTCACCTCGAACTCTCAGGCCAACTTATTCAATATCATCTACACTACCTATCAAGACTTACCAATGTATTTATCCCAAAACCATTCCATGAAAACTTGTTTCTCAACGTTTTTTTTCTCAATGCAAGTTTTCAAATCAACTTTTAAAGTTTAATGTAATCAAATGAATTGATATGCCAATTTCACAGATGAATATAAATACTTTTATTCCAATTCATCATCCAAGGAATAACACAATTCCCTCTTCTTAAGTATCCTCAAAATTAGTCATTTCAAGACTATTTCAACGTTTTGAACAATAATTTTCAAAATGAACAACAATTCTCATATTTCATGAAATTCATCATTTATATAAATATAAATAAGAAATTTTCTGAATATCCATTTATTTTTTGACACACAAAATAAATAAAAGAATATCATTCATGGATTTTCAATCTCTTTTAAAAATTCCTAATTTCTATTTTTTCTCACCAAAACTATACAACTCAAATCTTTTGAAAGAAAACTTTTCAAAATCATCTTTTTTTCAGTACAACTCAAATCTTTTGAAAGAAAACTTTTCAAAATCATCTTTTTTTCAGTCAACGAAGATCAAAACCCATAAGATCATTTTAAAAGAACAAGAGACAAACCCACTTTCAAATTCGCTCTACTTCTTGAATCAACAATTCATTTTCAAAAGCTATCAAATGATGATTTCGAAAATCATCTAGATCTTGCAAATATATATATATATATATAACTCAAAGAAAATCCCTACCTCAAATTTGAAGAAGAACAGACATGAAACCCCAAAATCAACGATGTCTAAACTTGATCTTCACCGCACACAATGAAACCCTCGAAATGATAATCCACTTTGATAAAGAAACAATGGCAAAACTCAAATAAATCTTGAGAAATCCAGGTTTTTTTTTAATCTAGTTTGTGTAGAGAAATATAGAGAGAAGGGAGAGGAAATGTTTTAGAGAGAGGGATATATATATAAAAGTGATCTAAAATATCAGATTCACGAACTGATATAACATGGTCCACTCAAGCGTGGAAAGCCCCGCTCGAGCGTCAAATACACCTTCCTAGTACTTTTGCAGACAAGTTAAACTTCTGGAACCAAACATTCTCCACTCAAGCGCATAAACGGCCGCTCGAGCGGACAAGCAACTTCGAAAGCATTTTGCATTTTCGCTTTGGGGGCGTTGCCCCTCGACCCCGCCAGAGCGTTGCCCTCGGACCTGCTAAGGGGCGCTGTCCCCTAGATCCCCGCGACCTGACGGAGCAACTCGATCACCAACATAGTTAGCAAAGTGGGAAAACATGAAAGATACGCTACAACCCGATACAAATATGAGACATTACCTGTTCCAAACACACCGCTACAATCCGATAACCAAAATAAGGGGAATACAGGGAACTAAGATACGTAACACCGTTCAAAACCATATCAACCCGAGCCGGGAACACTATAAAGAGACGGGTCAAAATCGAGATCGCTACATCCACAATTGTCCTACATCTATTACGAACTCTTCTAAGCCACCAACTGCAAGTTTGCTCCGGAAGATTATCAATGACGATTGAGAAACACTTTTGATTTGGAACGCCTGCCATTAGTCTTTGAAAATCAACACCTTCCATTAGTCTTCCTAATACATGACCTATATAAGTGGTTGCCTTAATAGTAAATACTATGCTTGTGCAATGTGTGCATGAACAAGAAAGGTGAGAATAAGAAGAAAATGAGGAGCACTGAACAAGTTGTGGTAATTGTTTTTTTTTTTTATTTTTCATAACAATCTTAAGTTATGTTTGAATCATAAGTTTGAGTAGATATTTTGAAAGGAAAAAAAAAAGAAAAGAAAAGAAAAAGATGGGTAAGATGTGAATAAGCAATTTGAAAAAAAAAAAAAAAAGGGTTCAAATATGGCAAATTCATGTTAGAAGTTTTTGAACTCTTCTTGTATTCAGTTTGAAACCGTCCTCATTGAAGCAAGCTGAGGCCTCCTTTGAGAATATGTTATTTTAACCACTTTTTAGCTTTTTGATTAAAATATGAAGTAAAAAAAACTAATACATTTGGAATGACTTTTTAGTTTTTATAAAAAGATATGCAAAAGGTAAAGAGAAAAGAGAATATTTGACTTTTTGATATAGGTTATAGACTTTTTAATTTTTTTAGTAACTTTTTAACTTTTAAGTTAAAAGTATAACATGCCAAATGAGGCCTGAGTGTGTAAAAATTGTAAATTCTCCAAAAGGAGGCTGAAACAAGCAAGGAAACTGAAACCCTAGTGCACTTGCAAAAGGCCTTCACCTTTAGTTTGCCAATCTGATCCGCCTCTGCATGCCGAGGAGAGAGAGAGAGAGAGAGTTAATGATAAGAGGAATGATGTCAACCAACAAATTAAAAATAAAGAGAGAGAAACAGATAGAAAAATTCAACCACAATACTCCAAATCTCACAACCAATTCAACCACAATACTCCAAATCTCACAACCTTAACAGCAATGGTAAAAACAAGCTCTCTCTATTTTTTTTTTTTTTTCCTTTTCTTTTCTTTTCTTTTCTTTTTTATTTATTTCTGTCTTTGCATATTGGATTTTACAAATGAAAGTAAAATGTTATTAGTTACTATATATATTCACATTTTTTTAATGGATAACCAAACAATAAAATTGAATTAACCAAACAAAAGAAAGAATTTGGCTTCTTTCACTTCATTTTATTTTTCCATCTTTTCTCTTTAATTTTTTTTTTTTTTTTAACTCCACATATCTAAGATCAAATCATAACATTACAAAAAACAATCACAAAGGTGTTAAAACTGCAAAAAATGAAAAGAAAATTCGAAAGATGTCTTTAGCTAATCCATTCCAAAATTTGAATGTACGTGAACAGCTTGAACCACAACCGTGCTCTTTCAATTGGTGGGTCATATCCACTTAAAATATGATAAATAATACACTGTTGGGATTGAGAAACTAAAGCATCTGTGTGTGTGATTCATAGTTCCAACACTATGACTCAAAATCTCCTTCCTACACTTGGTGAGGTGGGGATGAAAGAGGGACGGATTAGTGAGCAACAAAAGGTATAACCGTTCTACCAACCAACAAGGCCTCTCTTCAATCACTCTCATTGCAACCCAACAACTGTAACAAGATAATAATCAAAAAGCAGGAGCAAGGTGTAAAGAGAACTACCATAAAAGTTAAATCAGCTACTCCATTCCTTCCAGATGTCATTTTGCCTAAATCATTGAGAGAGAGAGAGAGAGAGAGAGAGAGAGAGAAACATTAGTGAAGCTGGTAAGTGCCATGAAAAGAACAAGCAATTACTTTTCTAATACAAAAACAGGTGTAATGGTGAGTGCTAAAAGAGAGAAGGCAAATGACCGGCACCAGTGAGCACAAATCACAGTAAAAACGACAACTTGCTAAAAGGTTCAATTCCATTACGGAAAGAGCAGTTCTGTTCATCAACTATTCCCTTCAATTATTTTATAAACAAGAAGTTTCCATCCTTCCCTGGATAAAACAAATTCTCCACACACCAAAAAAAAAAAAAAAAAAAAGGGGGGGGAGGAGAAAAAAAAAAAAGAAAAGTGTCGGAGGAGTACTGAAGGAAAGGGGAAGCAAAACCCTTTCTCGGTCCAAATTTTTTACTTTCAAGGATAAACTGTCCTACAATAGTAGCATGAGTTTGTATAGATTTTGTGGTCCGAAGCTAACAATACGCGCCACAAAGGAGTTGACAGGAAGGGAGAATATTTGTCTCAACTCAACTAATTGATGGTAAAAGGGGTTACTGATTGTTACTGCTAACCTATTTGAAAGAATCTTTTCGTCATGCATGAAATGAAAGTAATTAAACGTGAAATAATTTGTGGGACAACCACAAGAAAGTAACTTTTATTTTACCTGAATATTCATCAGAATCATGGTTTAGTATTAGATACGGTTAATTAAGTTGTGACTCTTTCACACCTGAAAGCCAAATAAAAATAAATTCAGTGTTTTGACTAGAGGTACCTTATCAATAATGCCATATTCAACTGCTTCACTTGGACTAAAGTACTTGGCGAGCCTTACGTCTGTTTCAATCTGTTCAATTGGTTTTCCTATTATGCTTTGAGTATAGTTTAACCTTCAACATAAATAAAGAATAGTTAGCATTTATACGAGCTTCTGTTAGGATGCAAGTCAGTTCCTAACTAATGCAGTCAATTAAGCACAAGGGATGGCAACATTTTCAAATATGCAACACCCGGTAACAAGTGTTATACTAACAGAGTTTTGAGTCTTCATTTTAACACGTTATGTTTTACTTCGGATAGGGAATAAGAAATAATTATGAAGAACCAAAATTCCACAATCTGAAAAGTTCATGTAACTGCTATGAAAACCTAGTTACCACAATCTAAATGTTCAACTGTCAAATCATTATTTAACCTTTTATATCCCTCAACCTTCTCATTCCTCTTAATTTTCCATCACACCAACCAAATGAAGCACAATGGTAAGTTACTGTGGTGATATGAATTGTATAAAAAAATATTACGAAAAGAAATGGAGCGACGGCAAGGTGGGTGGAATCCAGTATTCCGACAAAGACAAGGTAGTGATGGAGCGGCAGGACATCTCCACATGATCTTTGTTGATGAGATTCCGGATTCAATGAATCCGAAAGGATTGTTCACCATGTTCTCAAAATTTGGTGTTGTCAAAGATGTTTACATCCCAGAGAAAAGGCGAAAAGCGACGAAAACCAGATTTGGATTTGCAAGATATGACTGTCCTGGTTGCAATGTGCCACTGGTTGGTTACTATTGACTGCAGTAATCAAATTTAAACCTCATTGCAAATTCGATGATTTCAAGACTGAATGTCGAAACAGAGGTTTGAAGGAAATACAACTTAGAGAAGGTGGAGGGAGGAATGCGTTTATCACTTTTAAATCACAAGAAGACTTGAAGCAATCGCTGAACAGCTTTGGAGATTGGTTATTGGAGTGGTGTGATTCAATCATTGAGTGGAATAAAGCTATGAGGTTAGACAATAAAAGATTGGTTTGGTTAAGTTGTTTTAGAATGCCTCCAAATCTCTGGAATGTTGATAACTTCCGGAAAATTGGTGGTGCTTGTGGGGAAGTAGTTGAGCTTGAGCTTGAGCTTGATCATAATGTCTTGAGCATGGAGTCTCTGAAGTGTGGGAAAATCAGAATCTGAAGGGAGTGAAAGACAAGGCGGTGCCGTGCTGGAATCAGTTAATGGGCCTGATGGGCTTATTAGAAGTTTAAGTGCAAGAGATCTAAATAGGCCCAATTTATCTTTGGAAGTAGTTCTGGATCAAGCCTAATTTGATGGGAAGAGTCTGGAGCCTAAAAATGATTAGGCCACTCTTATTGAGGAGGTTAACCCAAATGAAGAAGCTCAGGACAGTGACAGTAGTGATGATGAGTCCAGCCCAAGTGAAGAAGAAGGGGAAGTGTATCAACCTGATGCTTATGTCTGGGCTAATAGAGCAGAGGGCCAGCGAAATGACAGTAGAGAGCAGGGCAAATTCTGGAAAAGGACAAGGAATAAGGGGGAAATTCTATTTCCACCACCCTAATAAATTCAGTAGACACACTTAATGAAAAATTAGATTAATGACAATTATATCCTAATTAAAAATTATTATAATAGACATTGATCAACACTCCTAATAATATATATATAAATTACACTTTTTGAAACAAAAAAATTAAACCCTAATTTTTTTTTTTATAGTCACTTTGCTTTTTACACACTCTGCATTCATCTTTGTTATTTGCAAACAAAACATCTCCTCTATTGCTTTAATCTTTAAGTTTATACTCAATTATTAACATCATTTAATTATTAGTTCAACAATTTTTATTTGATTTTGATCAACACTCCTAATAATTTTTTTTTTTTTTTTTTTTAGTCAGAAACGCAGTGCCGAATTTGTTAAATTAATTCGGTTATCAAATACCGAAAAAATATGAATAGTTCGTCACTAGAACTATTCGGTCTTAGAGTTCCGAACAAAATTAATATTTTCGGCACTAGAATACCGAATTTTGTTATTATTTTCGGTTTTTATTATCCGAATTATTTTACTTACTTCGACTCTGTAGAACCGAATTGAAATTTTCCCCGGGGAAGAACCTAGGAAAGGTGGACTGAAGTCAATTAAAGAGGGTAGTGGCGACATCATCAAGAATATTTCCAAGATATTTTTGCACTGAAGAACCTAGTCAATTTATATAATTGGGGCATCGTCTTCTTCCCTCCTGTTTGAAGAACCTAGTCAATTTATAATTTTGGGGCATCATCTTCTTCAAGAAATAGGATGATGATGGTGAAGATATTTTTGCTTTAATCCTGTTTGATTTTCTTCTTCCCTCATGTTTGAAGTAGAATTGTAAATTGGGATAAATTAAAGTGTGTGTATTTTGAGGGTAAAGTGTGTGTACATATGAGTGAAGGATTTATTTATAATTTTAAGGATGTGGATTAAGATAATTACTTAACAATTAAATTAATAGAGATGTGTATTGAGAAAAGATTTGCCCTGAGTTTATTAGGGTGGTGGAAATAGAATTTCCCGGAATAAGGGGATATGATTTAAAAACGGTTTCCAAAGAGGTGCCCTTGTTCGAGTTGCAGCAATGGCAACCTCACCATCTTTATCTATCAGCAACAATTTATGTAAGCAAAGGAAAATCCGAAAAGAAGCAGAGGGCACAGTACAGTTGGGTATGACTCTGGGTTTGGCAATGAATGGGAAGGAAGCTGAAGCTGTGGAGCGAGTAATTCAGATGGAAATTGAAGACATTGATAGAGTGAACGCAAAAGGGATGGAGCCAGGTGCTTAATTAGAGCACTTGGTAGGTGGCTCTAGCGAATAGTTAAATCCTCATAAAGATTCTTTCCTGGAATGTCAGAGGGTTGGGTAGGGCAGATAGAAGGCAAATGATTAAGGCATTTTTGAGACAGAAAAATGTGGATATGGTTCTGCTGCAAGAAACAAAACGATCACGTATTGATGGGAATGGTTTTAGGTCTTTGTGGCCTATTGATTCGGTGGAGTTCATGGAAATGGGTGCAGATGGTTGTGCTGGAGGGCTTCTTTGCATATGGAACCCTCTGATTTTCTCATTAAAGGAGTGCTGCTGTTCCAGAAATTTTATCCTGTTGGCAGGTATTATGCACTCTTCTATTAATTGTGTAATTGATAACATTTATGCTCCAAATGAAGATTTGAATAGGAGAAGGTTATGGGATATTCTTTCCAATTTGAAGTGTATTTTTCCTAATCCTTGGTGCCTAGGGGGTGACTTTAATGAAGTAAAAAATATTAGTGAAAAAAAAGGGTGTGTAAGGAGGAACAGAGGAATGGGTGAGTTTGGAAATTTTATTAGCAACCTCGAATTGGTGGATATCCCACTGCTAGGTAGACAATACACTTGGGGCAATTCTCAGAGTTGGAGCAGGATTTATCGATTTCTGGTTAACCCTGAATGGTTAGAATGGTTCAAATACAAGGTTTGGGGGCTACCAAGACTCTCTTCTTCTTTTTTCTGATCATAGCCCTATTTTGCTGATGGAAGATGACAGGAATTGGGATCCGAAACCTTTCAAGTTCATCAATGCTTGGGTTTTACACCCTAGCTTCCTTGATGAAGCAAAAAGAGCTTGGGAATCAACAAGTGTACATGGTTGGGTTTGTTATATCATCATGGAAAAGCTGAGAGCTCTAAAAGTAGCCCTGAAAAAATGAAATGTGGAAGTGTTTGGTGATGTAGAATCTAAATTGAAAGAAGCTAAAAGTGCTCTACATTCTATGGATTTACAATCTGAATTGAGGGGGTTGATTGAGGTGGAAGAGGGCAAAAAAAAAAAAGGAGGTTCTGGATTTGATCTGGAAGCTTAGGAAAAGAAAGGAGTGGATGTGGGTGCAAAAATCTAGAATGGACTGGGCTTTGAAAGGGGATAGAAATACGAGGTTTTTCCATCTCATGGCCTCCAAGAAACATAACAAAAACTTGATTTCTTCTCTTAAGGTTAATGGGGTTGAGGTGGATGAACCAAGTGAGGTAAAACAAGCAGCTTGTTCTCATTTCCAGAATTTATTTACCGAACATTGGAGGTATAGGCCAACAATTGGAGGAGATTTTAAGAAGATTGATGCTAACCAAGTTAGCGCTGTGCTGGAGAGAGAAATCAAAGAGGAAGAAGTATGGGTTGCTATAAAAGATTGTAATGGTAACAAAGCCCCAGGTCCGGATGGGTTTAATATGATATTCTTTCAAAATGGGTGAAAATTCTTGAAAGGTGACATTATGAAGTTTATGAAGGAGTTTTATAGCAACAGTAAATTGGGTTATGGGGTACACTGCTCTTTTGTTTCTCTTATCCCTAAAAAGGAGAATCCAAGCTCTGTTCTTGAGTACAGACCAATTAGCTTGCTAAATTCTCCATATAAGGTTGTAACAGCCCTCACCTTACTCTTGTCATACTTGCACACATTCATGCATGATCTTGCCTTGTTATATGGTTTTGGAGGTTTGGTCTTGCCTTGATTTGCTTTAAGTTGCTTGCATGATTTTGTTCTTTGCTTAGTGTGTGTGTGTGGCCGAGGTCGCCTTGAGCTTAGTTCGCCTTTGAACCCTTGTACTTAGAACTGATTTGAGACCTTGGTCGACCCCCACCTACACCTCGGGCGTTTACTGCTGAGATGTTTTGCACCCAGTGAACCTTGTCTGCAGGCAGGTATGGCCTAGGCCGAGATGTGGCACACCCCGGCCAAGGTGTGGCACAGCTTAGTCAAGTGTCGTCCTCCCTAGCCGATGTTTTGTAATCCTGTTGCCGGATCCTTTATTTGAGCCGACGTCATTTCTTGCCGATGTATCTTGCCGAGCTTGCTGCATACGCTTTGTCAGAGACTTGTCTTATCAATCAATCACCTTTTTGAGCTGAACCAACCCGATAGCGCCGCGTGTCCGAGCTGATTGTTAAGACAGCCGGCAGACCTTGAAACAAATCATTTTCTTGTCTCAAATCTTTGCCCTTAGAGAGAGAAGCTCTAGAGAGAAGGAAGAGAAGTTCTTGAGTGAGAGTAAGTCTTCCAAGCTTGATCTTCGTGGTTTGAACCGTTGGATTCGAGTTTTGAGGTTTGAATCTTGATCTACTTTGATTATTATTGTTGATCATCTAGCTGCATTGCATGATCGAATCTGTTTTGCATGTCATGCACCATTTTGAAGTTGGTTTTGAAAAGAGAAAATGGTTTTCATATGTTCTTGAAAGAGAGTCTCGTTTTTTATCCGAAAGTTTGGAACGAAAATCATGTTTTGTGTTTGTTCTTACATGACCATCTTGCATGGGTACCCAGGTCCATGTTTTGAACTCTTGGCATGAAACCTCAGATCTTTGTAACTAGTTTTGATCTTGCATTCATCTTCCTCATGATCATGCTCATCATATTCTTCATGTGCTTTAAAGGGGAACCCAGGTTTCCCCGACTTTGCTTTTTGG